TGTTTATATCCAGAAAGTCTCTGTAGTTGTTGATCCCTTCTGGACTCTGTTGGTTTTCCAATTCAGGAGTCTGATCTTCTCCAAGCTGCCCTCAGTTGGTTTAGTCACTAACAGCGGGGGGGGCCCGTCTCTGCCATATCCTTATTAGCCTCCTCTGCTGTGTTGTATCCAATCATTTCTCCACACACATTTTGGCCGGGAGTGGTGTCTGGAACCTTTTTGCCTCGTGTTATTAAGGAGAATTAAACTGGGTGCTAATCGGTATGGAATATGCAACAAACTAGATGGGTGTTGGTCAGGACTCAGGAATGAAGAGCAAGAGGTGATTTTCCTTTGCAACAGGCTTCACTAGCTGTGCACTTTGTTGTGAACTCCCTGTTGGAACAGTTCTGAAAAACAAAAACGATAAAAAATATATTAAACTATATAATATCAGGTATTTAAACTGAGGTCCATTAACAAACATACACACAGGCTATACATGATAATATTTCAGTCAGGATCTCTTTATTCAGAAGCTTATGTGATCCAACAGCACCATCTACTGGTTCAACAACACATCTCCCCCAGGCGTCCAGGTTGAGCTCTGAGTGCGTTAGAAATGCTGCTGCCATTATGGGAGAGCCTGCTAGCATTCTCTGCTCGTATTTTGCTTCTACTAAAAATCTAAAATAATAACAAAGATCTATGACTGTATACTAGGAGCAAAGTAATCCACAGTTTATAAGAGTAAGAACAGAGGAATCACTGAAATCTTTCAAAGAGGACTTTTTGAAACATAACGGGAGTCTGTTTTGCAAGAAGATAATGTCAATATATAATTTTATTTTCTGAATACTTTTAAAGTATTACATAATAAAATTTGTCCATTAATAATGTTCTCTCATAAAAACATACTCAGAAGCTCCATGGATCTCAAAGTGTTTACAAAATGCCTTCAAAAAACTATATAGAGATTTCATAAGGCATAGATCTTTGAAGATGGAGAATAAATTAACTGCTCTTCTATGAATAGCTAAACAGGATTACTATAATAAATTATTAGATAGAGATAAGAAAAATATCAAAGGGATTTGGATTGTATTGAATAATTTTATCAAGTAAAACTCAGAAAAAATGAAATTTCTGCAGTTCTTTGTAAATAATGAAAACAATTTTGAGGACATTAATGACATTGTTCATAATTTTAATATTTTGTGAGTGTGGGACCCAAACTGGCAGAAAATAATCTTTGATTCTACAACAACTGGAGCTCTGAATGAAACGTTAATCAGCAGAAATCCTTATTCAATGTTTTACACTGGTGTTGGAGAGACGGAAAATATAGATATAGTCACCTGACTGTTGTTGATATGACAGTAATTAAGAAGATAATTAAGGAAATTATTCAGGCTTAACTTACATCTGCAATCTGTCATTTCAGTCAGTAAATTTCCAGAAAAGATGAAAATTGCCAAAGTTATTCCACTTTATAAATGTGAGGACAGACAATTCAATTCAGTTTATTTATATAGCGCCAAATTCACAACACATGTCATCTCAAGGCACTTTACAGTTCACCCAGATCATACAGTCAAATTGATACAAAGTTTTCTATCTAAGGAAAACCAGTTGATTGCATTGACTCATTGACTCAAATACAATCCCCCACACTAAGCATGCTTGTAGCGACAGTGGAGAGGAAAAACTCCCTTTTAACAGGAAGAAACCTCCAGCAGAACCAGGCTCAGTGTGAGCGGCCATCTGCCGAGGCCGACTGGGGTTCAAGGAGACAGAAGCAGAGATACAAAAAGCAGCTGTAAAAGGCGGCCCCGTCCAGGAAACACACAGCCAGGCAGACGAGCTCCAAGGCAGCTCCCATGCCAGAGGACGAAGAAAGCACATCCACTCAGTCACGGTCAGAGAAACAGGACCACACTGGAAAACAGGCCGATCTCCAACATCTATAAACAAGGGTGTTGATAGAAGCAGCATAGCTGATGTTTCTTTCCAGGATGACGTCACAGCCAAACAGGAACAGACGAGGCAAAGCTACTCTGAGGAAAAGCAGAGAGAGCAGAAGGTTAGAGATTGAACTAACAGATTCTGCAGAATAGGAGAACAGAGAGAGAATGAAGCAGAATGATGAAATGGGGGTCCCTATGTCCTCCAAAAGTCTAAGCCTATAGCAGCATAACTATAGAGATAGCTCAGGATAACCTGAGCCACTCTAACTATAAGCTTTATCAAAAAGGAAAGTTTTAAGCCTAGCCTTAAAAGTAGACAGGGTGTCTGCCTCACGGACTAAAACTGGTAGTTGGTTCCACAGGAGAGGAGCCTGATAACTAAAAGATCTGCCTCCCATTCTACTTTTAGAAATTCTAGGAACCACTAGTAAACCTGCAGATTGAGAGCGAAGTGCTCTGTTAGGAACATAAGGAACAATCAGATCTCTGATATAAGATGGAGCTTGGCCATTTAAGGCTTTATATGTGAGAAGGAAGATTTTAAATTCTATTCTTGATTTAACAGGAAGCCAATGAAGAGAAGCCAGGATAGGAGAGATATGATCTCTCTTTTTAATTTTCATTAGAACTCTGGCTGCAGCATTTTGGATCAGCTGAAGGCTTTTAACTACAGTTTGTGGACTTCCTGATAGTAAAGAATTACAATAGTCCAGCCTTGAAGTAACAAATGCATGGACTAGTTTCTCAGCATCACCCCTGGACAGGATATTTCTAATTTTTGCAATGTTCCTCAGATGAAAGAAGGAAATTCTAGAAACCTCCTTGATATGGGACCTAAATGACAGGTCCTGATCAAAAACAACACCAAGATTTTTTACTTTATTATCTGAAATCAGTTTAATCCCATCCAAATGAAGTGACTGGCTAATCAGTTTCTTTTTCAGAGACTCTGGTCCAAAGACTATAACTTCTGTTTTGTCTGCATTCAGAAGCAGAAAGTTAAGAGTCATCCAGGTTTTTATGTCTTCAAGACATGCCTGTAATCTATGTAATGGGTTAGCTTCATCTGGATTTATAGACAGATATAGCTGGGTATCATCAGCATAACAGTGGAAATTAATCCCATGCTGTCTAATAATTCTACCAATTGGGAGCATGTATAAAGTAAAGAGAATTGGTCCTAGCACTGATCCCTGTGGTACTCCACAGGTAACCTTTGAGCGTGTTGAAGATCTATCATTAACATGAACAAACTGAATTCGATCAGATAGATAAGATTTAAACCAGTCTAGTGCTGTTCCTTTAATTCCAACAAAATATTCAAGTCTTTCTAAAAGAATATTATGGTCAACTGTATCAAATGCAGCACTAAGATCCAACAGGACGAGCACAGATACAAGTCCATTATCTGAGGCCATGAGAATATCATTAGTGACTTTCACCAGAGCTGTTTCAGTGCTATGATGAGCTCTAAAGCCAGACTGAAACTCTTCAAAAAGTTCATTATGGTGGAAGTGATCGCAAACTTGTTTGGCAACTACTTTCTCAAGAATTTTGGATAAGAAAGGAAGATTGGATATAGGTCTATAATTGACCAAGTCATCTGGGTCAAGAGACGGTTTCTTAAGCAGAGGTTTAATTACAGCAACCTTAAAAGCTTTAGGTACATATCCCTGTAACAGAGATAGATTAATCACATCTAAAATGGAGGAGGAGATCAAAGGGAATACCTCCTTAAATAACCTGGTTGGAACTGGATCTAACATACAAGTTGAAGGCTTAGATGAAGACAATAATTTTGCTAATTCAGAGAGTTCAACTGGATCAAAGCAGTCTAAACCCAGTTCAGATTCCATGACTACCTCAGGTACAATCGCGGATAGAGGAGTGCTTATGATCTTATTTTTAATAAGATCAATCTTATTTATAAAGAATCCCATAAAGTCATTGCTGCTAAGAGCAGGTGGAATGGACGGTTCAACAGAGACACCATTTCACAAACTACAGGCCTGTTTCTTTACTTCCACAGTTTTCCAACATTTTCGAGAAATTGTTTGTGGATAGATTATATACTTTCATTAATAAACAAAAACTGCTTTCTGAAAGTCAGTAAGGATTTAGATCACAAAGATCTACAGCAATGGGCGTCACTGAATTGATAGAACAAGTCATCAGTGCCTTAGATAATAAGAAATCTGCAGTTGGTGTATTTATTGATCTTGAAAAAGCTTTTGACACAATAATCATGAAATATTACTTAAGAAATTGGATCATTTTGGCATCCAGGGAGTACTACTGCTCTGATTGAAAAGTTACCTAAGCTACAGGCAATAATCTGTGCAAATGGGTGACTGCCAGGCTGATCCTAAAGAACATCTGCAGGTACCTTTTCCGTCGGTCCTCTTGGTTTGTTGACCTCACCCCTCCACATACAAGCAGTTAAGTTCTAAGGAAGTTCATCTAACTAATGCATAGGTGTTGGATCTGAACAGCTTGAGACTTAAACAACAGAAAACTTAAGAAACATTTTATTTTACTCTAAAAACCAAATTTTGAAACTGAAAGGAAAAAAACAAAACAAAAATAATTTTAAAATTGAATTTTGAACTGAAGATTTAGAGTATATATATATAAAAAAAGTAAATAACAATAATAAAAAAATAAAGAACTTAATTTTAAAACCAAATTTAGGATATTTAAATCTAAAAAAAACTCACAGTAGGGCTAGTTCCTATCTCCAGCAGTCTGGGTGAAAGGCAGGGTAAACCCTGGACAGATCATCTAAAAAACATCACCTGAAAAGTAGTTTAAATATGTCTTAAATGGTTAAGAATCTAGAGATCATCTGTTCAGATGGATTCTAAATACTTTGATGAGAAAAGTCGAGATCCAAACCTTGGCAGATGATAGCAGAGCATTTGCCGGTCTTTTATAATCCATAATTGTGATATCAGAGCTACTGTGTATGCTGGGAGATGTAGTTCCAAACTGTTTATATGTAGTTGGATTGAAACAAAGATGATTTAAGTGAAGTGTCCTTTCTTTAACCTACAATTGAATATATTTCTGTCATCTTTCCAGACCGCTTGCAGGATTATGTTGGAAAAGAGGAGGATTTCTCTGATCAGCAGCTCTATGAACAGGAGAGGAATTCCAGTTTTGACCAAGAGGAACCAGAACCTCTGCAGATAAAAGAAGAGCAGCAAGAACCAGAACATCCCTGGACAAAAGAGGAAACCATGGAGGTCCTCATTAGTGAGCATGAAGAGCAGCTTGTTCTGAAGCAATGTTTGCCATGCGGAGACAACTTTCTAAAAGAAGAACTTTTAATAGATCACATGATAACTCAAACAGATCAGAAGAATAATGAATGTCTGTCCTGTGGAAAAAAATTCACCTATAAATCTGACCTTAATAAACACATGAGAATACACACAGGTGAGAGGCCTTTTAAATGTCCGTCCTGTGGAAACGGTTTCAGAACGAAATCTCATCTTAATAAGCACATCAAAATCCACACAGGTGAGAAACCTTTCTCCTGTACAACTTGTGGCAAACGTTTTATTGAAAAAAGTAGTTTGACTGAACACGTGAAGATTCATTCAGGTGAAAGACCTTTTTCTTGCAAGACCTGTGAAAAACGTTTCATCTATAAATCTCACCTTAATAAACACATCAGAACGCACACAGGTGAGAAGCCTTTCAAATGTCTGTCCTGTGGAAACAGTTTCAGAACAAATTCTCATCTGAATAAACACATCAAAATCCACACAGGTGAGAGGCCTTTCTCCTGTACAACTTGTGGGAAATGTTTTATTGAAAAAAGTAATTTGACTGAACACCTGAAGACTCATTCAGGTGAAAGACCTTTTTCTTGCGAGACCTGTGAAAAACGTTTCATATACAGATCTCACCTTAATAAGCACATCAGAATTCACACAGGTGAGAAGCCTTTCAAATGCCTGTCCTGCGGAAACAGTTTCGCTTATAAATCTGACCTTAAAAAACACATTAAAGTTCACTCTGTTGAGAAGAAATTCAAATGTCTGTCCTGTCCACACAGTTTCAAAAGGAAATCTCTTCTTTATAAACACATCAGAATTCACCCAGGCGAGAAGCCTTTCTCCTGTACAGTTTGTGGCAAAAGTTTTACTATAAAAAGTAGTTTGACTGAACACTTCAAGATTCACTCTGATGAAATACCTTTTTCTTGCAACACTTGTGGAAAAAGCTTCACTCACAAATCTAATCTTGATAAACACATCAGAACTCACACAGGTGAGAAGCCTTTCCCCTGTACAGTTTGTGGCAGAAGCTTTTCTGTAAAATGTAGTTTAACTGCACACATGATAACTCACACTGGTGAGAAGCCTTTCTCCTGCATGATGTGTGGCAAAAGTTTTACTGGAAGAACTTCTTTAAAAAAACACGTCAGAATTCACACAGGTGAGAAGCCTTTCTCTTGTACAGTTTGTGGCAAAACTTTTAATGAAAATTGTAGGTTAACTGAACACATCAGAATTCACACAGGTGAGAAGCCTTTCACCTGTACAGTTTGTGGAAAAAGCTTTGCTGTAAAACGTAGTTTAACTGCACACATGATAACTCACACTGATGAGAAACCTTTGTCCTGCACAATATGTGGCAAAAGTTTTACTGGAAAAACCTCTTTAAATAAACACCTCAAAAGTCACACAGGTGAAGAGCCCGTCTCCCGTACAGTTTGTAGTAGCGAAAGTTTTGACTAACTTAACTAAACGCATGACTCATGGGAGTAACTTTTGTAATCCATGACACATGAAACTCATCTTAAAGATATTGATTTCTTCACATAAGAAGTCACAGTAGCCGTAGACACACTGAATCCAATTCTTCCTCTGATCCGACAGAAAATCGTGTCTGATGAATTCATGGCATTTAGCGCTCATTGGGCCGGATTTATCAAGATCCAATTTTGCGTGCAGTAATTTGCGCTCGCAAACTGGAATTTTGCGCGAAGGGCTGAACCATGGTTTGCGGGTGATTTAACAGGAGTAATTGCGTACCTGGTGACGGGTGCAAAACTGTTGGAGACGCCCTATTTAAATGATGGTTTTGCGCGTTTCGTGGTTTGTGGCAAAGTAGTTTGTAGTTTGTACAAACTAGTGCATTAAGAAATTTTAATCTTACAGTGACACCCCCACCCCCTCCAAAAAAAAAAAAAAAAAAAAAAATATATATATATATATATATATATATATATATATATATATATAAAAGCTTTGGCAACCTTTATTCCCTAAGGTGGTGTGTGGCTGAATTTCTACTTCACTGCAGTAAAAAAAAACAAAAAAACAGGTGTTTTGTATTGGCCTGTAGAAAAATGCACATACCAAATGGCTCACAAGAAGTGACTGTGGATGAGATTACTGCGCGTACGCATCCCCGCAGCATTGGCATGTTGCTCCACAGGCGCAGGGGGGAGGTCGGGGTTCTCCGGTAGGGCGTCAGGGCGACATGGCATTTAGAACGTCAGACAGCACTTCTGAGATTGGGAGATCCCAGATGCAAAAAAGTGCAATGCTGCAAGGAGTTTTGTTATTTCTGGTATTGCGTGGGTCCTTCTTGTGGCTGGCTCCAAATCCATTCGGAGTTCCCCCAACAGCTCCAAAATGGCAATGCTGGATAAACGAAATGTTTTGATGATCGTTTCCTCGTTCATTCCAAAAATATTCACACGGAGTGAAAAAATGCGTTCTCTGCGTCTCCTTGCTTAATTTCGATGTCTCCTTCTTGCGACAATAACCGCTGCCATGTGTGCGCAATTACGCATACAGACCATTTGCACCTTCTTTTGAAACGTGTTAAATATAGACTCAGATACCGTTAGCAAAATTGCTTTCAGGTTTGATAAATCACTTTGCGAGTGCTAAATTAATATATTTACATGTTCTCCTCCCACAAGACGCACTTTTGCGTGTAAACGCCCCATATTGCATATTCATTGCAGAAAAAGTACTAAATGGATAAGAGGCGCTATTTAGCACGTTTTAAAGACCAAATCCTTTTAGCACGCTGTTGATAGATCAGTTTGTACAATTTTTAGCGTGCGCAGTGAAATAGCTCACGTTTTTATACACGCAAACCTTTGATAGATCCGGCCTATTGAGACAACTTTCTGCAAAAGGGCTTGTGTGGCTCTGACTAAGATAGATTCCATGGCTATATAAGTTGGATTATGCAGCAATTCAGCTGCACATTCATTGATCTTCTAGAAGAGAGATGTGGTTACAAAATAAAACACACCCGCTTTGGAGGAAAATACAAAATAGACTTTGAAACCCACGGGGAAAGAGTCGGTTTTGGAGTGGAACATAGCATATATAGCAAGCGGTACAGACTCATGCACGAAAAATCAACGAACCATCAAAAAACAATATTTTACCGATGATAATTCAGGAGGAAAGAAAACAGAGAAAAAATAGCGATGCCATTTGAGCCTCACAAAAAGAAATATTGTGCAAGTAATCATCATTCTCCCCGCTATTGGAAAAAAAGAAAATCAAAAACTGCTATAAACCTCCCAGATCTCTCTCTGGGAATCACCTCTTACCGCCTCAGTCAGCATATAAACCGTCGCACAGCATTTATTGCTGCATTTGCCCTTTCTTTAGATGTAGTTCCCATTATGGTTTTAATATAGGCTGTAAAAAAAATCAATAGCACAGATCTGCTCACCCTGCTAGTCCAAGCCTCTTTATGCAGTCAGGAGGCCTTGTCCATGTTTTATTTGTCATAAAATGTCCATCTAGAAACTCCTTCACCTAATTACTTGAGGCTTTTTTCCGTACCACTCTATGCAAATGTTTTTTGTATTGCATCATTTTCTGTTGTGGATGTTTTCCACTAATGTAATTACTTCTAGATTGATGTAACAAGCAGAAATGTCAATCTCATGGGTTCTAAAACTTTATATGGTTTCATATAAGTTACAATCTTTTTCCATGTTTTCTCTGATATTTTCAGAAAAGCTAAAGGTTTAATATAAATTGTTTAATGGTATTAAAATGTTTAAATGAGAATAAATAAATGTGTCTAAAGATTTTCTTTGTGGTCATTGCTTGGTGAATTCAGTTATGTCTGATTTAGTTTAAACAGATGAATTTGTACATGTTGGCTCTTAAAAGGAAAGTTGGAGTTGGTACATGAGACTTTAAAGAAAATCAGAATATAGGACGGACCTGTAAAACCAATGTTTAACCATCACTGGTTATGGTGCATTCCTTTGGTATTTCGAGATTGGAGCCTCTAAAGTCCATGTGAGGAACTCACTTGTATAGTAACCTGATCTAAAACCTCTACAGCCTGAATGTCAGAGGTTCCTAACCATCAATTGCTGTTATGCAACATGATATCCTGCAGATAATGAATAAATGATTTACTAGAACTGGAGTTGTAGTTAATTAGAAAAAAAGCACAAGTTATTTTTCAATTCCTTACTAACTTCCAGGCAACATATTTATGTCGTTTTTTTTTTATTTGAGATGCAAAGAACACAATAATGAAAATTAAAAGCTCAAATGAAAAGTCTAAGTTAAATAGTCTTTATTTTATAATCAGTTATTATATGTTCCACTGTTGGACAATCATCAATACTTTTGACTGAGAGGGGAACTCATGGTAAGACAAAATGGCCAAAGGGAAACACAAGTCAAAAAAGGTTGGCAAACACTCAGCTAAATGACAAAAAGGCCTTCTTTACTCTTTCACATAACCCCAACTACTCATCTAAAGTTGTTTTTTTAATGAATGTTCATTTTATTGGATGAACAGAAATGGATAATAACATAATTTGTAAATGAAAAATCATTTTTGAGCCAAAATCTCAGCCAAAAAGTTTGAAGAAAAAAATGTCCTTAATTAATTAAAGCTTTTCTTCATTTCCAGAAGTGATACCTATTTCTCTGTTTCTCCATATTAGAGGTGGGCGGATCGATCCTAGGATTGATACCTACACTAGTATTGATATTAAACAATATTCGTTTAACAAGTTTGATACTTTTTATTCTCTCCCACACACACTAACTGCAGCAGATTCACCAGTCGCCCTACTTTCCATCCATGTAACATCCAATATATTTCAGAACATTACTTTTTCAAATGAGAAATACAACAAACACTACAAAAATGACAGCATCATCCGCTTAATAATGAATTACTACATTGACATTTCATGGTGAATTACTTTCTATTTACTTTCTATTTTCTTACAATAGACATAATGTCAGTGGCTAATTTAGTCAATAACTTCGATTCAGTCCCAGATAGGCAGACTAATGTTACGCTACATAGGATACTACAGGATACATTGGTGTATTTATGGATTTTCTTGGTTAGTTTATCCACTGACTGGGAAATTACCTGTGGAATGTCTTTCTATAGCCGGCAAACTGCTTGTTTTTGCAGCAAAATGCTACACATGTTGGCATTTTTTCTGCATGTCTCAGTGGGAGTGGGGAGTACCAGCATGGTAGACGGTGGCTTCACTTTTTTCAGCCAATCAGCAATCCAGTGAATAAATAGAGATCAGTAGTTTCAGACCTCCTGAGAATATACAAGTAGTAGATTACCTTCAAAAGAAATTCCTATTAAAGGTATAGTGAAGGATTTACTCAAATTTTTGAAAAGACTCGCCATCTCCACTTTTAAAAAATTGCATGTGCATAATCATGTATCTGCTCCCGAGAGGGAACGCCTATTAAACTTGTGCAAGGACGTGCTTGAGCCCATCTTTCCATGTGCATGCTCTGTTTAAAAGTTGCTATTTGCATCGCTCATACAAGCAGACTTTCTTAACATTCAAAGTAGACATTATATGTCATAAGTTACTGTAGCCCACTTAGAAAAGTGTAATTAAGACCTTGAAAGAACCAAGTACATTTATCCCATTAAAACATGTTATCTAAGTGGGCTAACATGAGCTAATCCTTTATTTATCCACAATGTGCAGTTTTATAGAATTAAAGCAACAGGCAAGTACACACAATGCAAACACAATTACATAAGGATTTAATATAAGTGGCAGATAAGGAAAAAATGAAAACCAATGGAATCAGGTCATGTTTCCCCTGTACACTAAAACTCCATCACTGATTCTTTTACTGATTTAAAATTAAATTCTCAATTTTAAACAATTCTTGTTATTCTCATAAAATATCTCTTGATTTTAGAAATGATGGCAGAACATAAAGGCCGCTTCTTCGAGGAGCCCAAGAATCAGAAGTGTCCTCGCTGCTCTGTTTCAGGCCAAACTACCCTGGGAATTTACACATGCTAAAGTGTTAGCTGTATATGCCCCCCCCCCCCCCCTTCTGCTAATGCAGCAACAGTCTGTTAAGTCCAACACAATACCATCAGTAGACTCCAAACTCAGCACCCATGTGCTCTTTTCATACTCTCTCGGGACTTCAACCATGTCTCCCTGTCCTCCATCCTTACCACATTCACATGTTCAATACAACGCTGAAGAAAATAAGCAATGCAAAGTTAAGATTTCAAAGTTAGAAATTGCCGACAAAGAACTGATAACAGAGAAGGAAGAAATAAAAGTAAAATTGAGAGAGGAAGAGGGTTACAGAATGAGCTGGTGCCTTGAAGTTAAAGGAGTGAAGGAGAAACAAGATGAAGATATCAGATCAAAGAATGGTTCAAATAATAATAAAGATTCTCCCAGAGCTAAATATGAAGATTGAGGATGCTGTGGATGTCGTCCACAGATTGAGAGGAAAAAACAGAACCAGGAATATATTGATGGTATTCTCCCAGAGAATAATAAAAGAAGAACTCTGGAGGCGCAGCAAAGGAGCAGAGAGAAGGAGAGATGTTACCAAAGGAAGACCTGGAGGAGCGACATCGCCTGTGACCACTGAGTGACGAAGTAAGGAAAGCTGGAAAACAGGCTTTTTTCCAGGGTCCCCATGGATTTATTGAAGGTAGACGAGTGGAAATAAATAAGTAAATAAGGGAGGATAACATGCCAGCAGTGAAGGAGCTCATCAAAGAGCATTTTCCTTTTTCTTCTCACTTTT